TTGAGAGACAGAGACCCAGAGGCCGAGGTAGACAGTGGGAGATGGAGTGGCGAGTGTGCCGGTCGTCTGCGAGGCACCACTGCCTACAGACTTGGTGGCCCTCCTGAATGTCTGTCTGTCTGTCTGTATGCCTGTTTGCCCGTGTGTCTTTCGGCCTGTCGAGGTGTGCGCCCAAGTGTGCCAACTTCACAGCGAGCGTCGATACCAATGGCACTGCAACTTGGCATCTGTCGAGCCGTCGAACCGTCGAAGCGTCGGTCAGTCACCAGTTGTCCTCACTACGGGGCCGACAGACGAGTGGACAGACAACCGATATACTCATGCACAAACCACACTATCACTCGTCCTCTCCTCTTTCTCATACTCCTCCTACTCCTACTCCTACTCCTACTACTACTTCTCTTCCTCCTTCTCCTCATCTTCCTCCTCCTCCTCCTATGGGTCCAGGCCTATGCATACATGCACAGGCACACATTGACACGCAAAGAAGTGCACATAAAATGGTCTTGCGAGGATAGGAATAACTGACGTCGACAACACGCGTGTGCAAGTGGCATTGGTTCATTCGGCTCCTTCATACTAGCGCTTGCACTCCTTCGCGATGGCAGGATGGTGTCGGAGATAACACATAATGTGTGCCTGCATTCATGTGTGCTTGTAATGTGTGTGTGTGTGTGTGTTTTATATGTTGGCGTGCGCGTGTGTGTGGGCGTGTGCGTATGTGTGCGCTCCTGTGTGCGTGTGTGTGTGTGTGTGGAGGGGAGAGTTGCTGTTTTGTCAGTTGGACCTGTTCAGGTGGATCGGTTAAGTCGGACGTGAGACCCAAGCACGAGGCTCCGGTATACCAGAGACAACACGAGCACGCAATCACGTCATGTCCGAGGAGGATGACGTGGCTTGTGCGTTTGATGCTGTTGTTACTGTTGGTATGGTTGGTACTGATGTTGATGTTGGTACTGATGATCGTGTTGGTAATGATGATCGTATTGTTGCAGTTGACGCTGTTAGTACTAATGCTTTGTGGTGCTGATGGTATTGATAGTAATGATGGTCGTGTTAGTACTAATTATCGTGTTGGTACTGATGGTTGTGTTGGTAGAGATGGTCGTGAGGTTGCTGTTAATGCTATTAGTACTAATGTTTTGTGGTGCTGATAGACTTGTTTGTACTGAGGATCGTGTTGGTACTGATAGCCTTTGT